GCCACTGTGGATTTCGACGAATGTTTGTCCAAGGATAGCAGCGATCATTTGCTGGGACGCGTTTTAGCAGGTAAAAGAACAAATCTTAAAAATACCCAAGTTATTATATTTAAAAAAAAAATTATAATAATAATCAACCCTTTTTAATTTAAATTAAGAAAAATTAAAAACAAAATTAAATTTGAATTTATTGATATATTTTAATTATATACTGAAAAAGTTTTGTACTTAAAATTTGTTGATTTTCATTCATTTAAATTTTAAAATTAAATGTATACAAAACAGCTGATTTTCATATAAAATTTCCCTCCCTTGGGCGCCATCTTTGTTTTTCCGCGACCTAACCCATATTGGCATTTCCATTTTTCCACACGTTTGTGAGTCACTAATATTTTTGGCAACATTGAAATTTGCGGCGTTTGTATGATTCAACTCCTTGCAGTTGCCGTGCATAGAAAGTGGCGAGCGCTGCCGCCGCTGTGTATAAAATTGAAAGTTTTCATGGCGAGCGCGCAAATGTGGGTCGACAGGGTATTCACCTATGGCGCTAGCCTCGGCGTTAGGCCGCTCAGAAATATCAGCTAATGGAAAGCATAGGCAATTCGAACTAGGTCACTCGGCGTGCGCGAGAGATTAGTTCGTTGCTCCCGACGACTCGACGACTATCCTTGTACGATTAAAAAAATCGACACACAACATATGAATGTAATGACGTTATCGCTCGCGCTTCATTAAGTCACTCTCAATTTCGCCATAATACATTTTGAATCTGCCAAGGAAATCAAAATTGCTTGAAAGTTAAACTTGCACCTAAGTCAAGTCACTTTTGATTTCGCAGACGGAAAGTAGGACATAAGTAAAAATAAATTATGAAGGTAGCAGAATCATAAAGCGTGGACGAAATTATTTTTTAAGTATTTATAATTTTTTTTTCTTTTTTTTTATGTATTATATCTATTTATATGATATGAATTTCAACTGAATAATAAGAATATGATGGCAGAAATTTGAATTTTAAATTTTCACCTGCTGCAGTAAATTTAAATCAAATTTAGCATTTTGACCCAGAATTGTCTTCTCCCCTTATTTATTTTTTTTTTAATTCAATTATTTGCATCCCGATTTAAATAATTTTTAGCAACTAGGCCAGTCGGGGCCACAAATAAATTATGCGCCTGTCCTTATGCATTGGAATGCATTATCCCCGAACGTCACGGGTCGCTCCAGTTCCAACTCGTCCAAAACAAACAAATACTCTTCTATTCTCTGCTCAAAAACACAAGGATTCCACCCTTTTGGCCAAAGTCACGCGAGAAATTGATGCATATCATATTTCGTGCGGTTACACTTCTTGCTTGCAATTACTTTCCTTCGTGATTATCGCGTTTTCAACTTTCTCCTTCGTAAGGAGAAGAGCAGTAAGTGGCGCTCGCCGCAATGGGATTGTACCTGAAAGCGAAATTAATAATCCGGTTCAGATTCACTTTCATCTCCAAAGTTGCTTCTTGTTCTAAAATATAAAATTAAATTTACATTTAATATAAAACTTCATTTAACAGGTCCATAAAATTTTTTAGGATTAAATATGTATTTCAAATAATACACATATCACATTTTTATTTATTTATTCTTTTAATTTAGTTTATGGTTGAAATTTAAAGTTATAATTTTTTTATTAACATAAAAATTCAACTTATTGAGGAAAAAATTTAATTTTAACTTTCATTTAATTTTAAATAATAATAATTTCTGTAATAAATTTACCTATACATTTTGTTTCGAAATTGGAACCCTCTCGAAAGCAATTTTTATATTGTTGTGGATGAAAAAGATTGCGATAAGAAAACACAATGTTGACTGCCCCGAAACGCGACCGTGCCCATCTTTGTTGTTTTTCGCCGAATAGCAATAACCCTTATCGGGCCAGATGGCATAATCTCGAGGGCGCACGCACTCCTATCTGCTGGATTTGTTTGCGTCACCCAAATTTCCCAACGAGCAGTCAATGAACTTGCTCTCGCGGTGGTTGCAGCAGCGCGCGATTCGCAACCGCGAGCTCTCGAAGGGAGAGAGGGAGATTAGCGTCTGACCCAGATAGCGCGGTAGATGCCAATGAACTCGCCGCCGCCTAACGAGGTCGTTCAGCCTTGCTGCCTTTTTTCGGACTCTTATCACCCGCTATCAGGCCACTTGGGCAATCAGGTGCCAAACGGACACTGTGTCGAATCGAAAACAAACAAGTTTCGCGGGGGCGCCTGCCGCCGAACGAGTTATGCAACCGGGCTGGCAGATGTGCTCTGCAAAAAGCGGACCACCGCACGGTGTCGTAACGAAATAAGAAGAGGCCTTGAGAATAAAAAATAATTTAGATCAGAAATTTTAGAACTTAAATTTCAAGTTAAATTAATAAGTAAATAAAATACAATAAACTGTTAAAACTATTTATTAATAAAACTTTTAATTTTATTTTTTAAAAGGTTTCACTTCTGAAAGTAAAAGTAAAGAATGAAAAATTTTATTCAATATATATTGTTATATTTTTTAAATTAATGAATTATTATAAAACTAAACAAAATAATTTTTTAAGCAACTTCTTAGTTTGTTTGTTTTGTTTTTAGTGATAATTATTTATTTCAATAAAAGCTCGTGCTTGCTTTTTCCTCCTGCGGTGTGGCGAAATTAGTTGCGCGTTTGCCCACGCACTCGTCTGTGGCGCACTCACTTGTTCGCCGTCGTCTTGCTTGCGCAGCTCTCTCGCATGGAAGGTCTGTGACCGCAATTTAGGTTGAGGACCCAGCCAGCGCGAGATATAATGGGAGTAGGAGAGGGTTCGTTCGTTGCACGTCGCCATTGGTGCACACTTGAGCGGCGACGCACATAAAAAAAGAGCAAAGAATTCGCGGGCCCCACTTTTCGGCGCGGGGTGCAACGCCCGATAATGAAGAATCGCCCTTATCAAAAAAGACTCATAAGACTGACGAAAATTGGCACAGTAAAAGAAATAAAAAAATGGCCTTATCTCAAATGATAAAATTTAACATCGAAGGCAATTGTGAAATTTTCAAATTAAAAAATTATGCTTTGATGTCATTATTTAAAAAGAGATAAAATAAAACCTATTAGTTAAATTTGATAAAAATTCAGTGAAGAGAAAATTGTATTAATCTGGACAGGTTTAAAGGATTTGTTGATTGAGAAAAAAACTGGTCTTATTTAATTGAACGAAAGTGAATCTTAACACTTTCTTTCTTCTTTCTCCGGCCGCCGTCAGCCATGTAATTTCTTTCTTTTTCGGGCCAATACACTTTTACCTTTTACCATCGGCGGATGAAAAAAAAGAACAAGGTCTCTTGCCCTACTTAGGCGCACTGGGTCAGTGAACCTTGGCGGCTGGCGAGCGAGTTCGCGTCGCGCCAGCTAGAGGGCGCCATCGTTCAGTCGTGCGCTTTAAACGCAAAATTATTTCGCACTTCTTGCGTGCGAATGCGAATCAAAATAATTAACAATTATAAAGAAATCTCTTGAAATTTCCGGAGCAAACGACGTGCAGGCGGACTTTGGTTTAATCACGTGAGTCACGTTTCCGGGGATGGAATGTGACCGGGGGTTGAAGGCGGCCTTGTTGTTGTGTCAAATAAAAAGAAAACGTGCGCCCTTAAATGAGCATTATTGGCACAATTCAGCGCACCCTTCACGTGGATTTCGCACGTGAAAGCGGGGCGCATGCGTTGCGCGGGAAAACAAGCCGCTCGCTGCCTTTCAACCCCTTTGAGGCGACCAGAGTCTCGTGACCCCTGCAACGAGCAACCACCTCTCTCTCGCCCGGCGCCATTCCACCCCCGAGATAAACCCAAAATCGCGAACCATGCAGACCGGTGAGTTTTGATTATTGGAAAATTTTATATTATAGGACGTGTGTTGTTGATGTGAAAAAAGGAAACACAAGAAAAAAACTTTCAGGGCTTCTTCAGTTCTAGTTCACTGTGTTCTTTTCTCCGCACAAACACTTTGTATATTGTAAGGGCTCTTTTATTTTTAGACTAAAAAAGTGGTGCTGTAAACAATTGAAACAATGCAGGTCGTAGAAATCAATTATTTTTAAAATTGAAATTTTTTTGTGAAATTATTTAACTTTATTTTATTGCTGGGCTGGAAAATGTGTTCCCGAAACGCGCCCCACTGCTCAAGCGCCGCGGCCGCGAGCTGCCTCGGATCTGCGCCCAAAAAGTTCAAGGCCACTTTTCGAGAAGTGAAAGTCGCGCCCGCGCCTCTGCCTCGGCTCCGAATTACATTTTCAGGCCCGGACAAGCTAATTAATTTTCCGCCGGCAGTCGCTAATTACGGCACCGTGTGTTCTTAGCGAATTATCGCTAATGGTGCTCGTTTTTTTCAAGTTGTACTGGTGACCCCTAGTAAACTCTGATTCAAGGTTCCGACCAAGTCCAATGACCTATAGAGAGAAAAATAATTCCCCTGCCGGCCGGCCCCACTCTCGGCCGCTCGGGGCCAATGGCGGCGCTCGTTTTGTTCGCCGGCTCAGGTAGGCCGATCGTGATTGGCCCCGAATGCACACCGCCGCCAACAGATTGGTGCTCAAAGTTACAACAAACGCACACGGCGGTTTCTCTGCTGCCGCGCGTTCTGTCATTTTTACTTTCAGTTTCAAACCATAGTTGGACATAAACATGATCGCCTAGTGTTTTGTTCCGCGCCACACCGCCTTGTTTCGACTGAAAATTTGGCCGACAGAAATGAGTTTGCATTATTGAGAGACAGTGGCCGCAGTGAAAGTGATTTGTCCCTTTGATTGTTTATATTTTTAATCCCACCATGATCGTTACGAATTTTAACTCGCATTATAACAACGACTCCTACGAAGGAGAACAACTTAATATCGGTGAGGTTTGGGAAGATATTTTGAATTGATGTTAATCGAAAATATTTGTAAAAATTTAAAAATATTTATAAATTTTATTTATAAATTGCAAATTTTGTTTCAGAATTTGACGGAACCACAGTATTATGCAGAGTTTGTGGCGACAAAGCTTCAGGATTCCACTACGGAGTTCACTCCTGCGAAGGATGCAAGGTAAGAAATCAGAAATTTTTAATTTTTTTTATTCAACGTTCAAAATAATTTTGTCTCCTTCGAAACAACCTGAGAGAAAATCTCAATGCCAAATCAAGAGCAAGCACGCCCAAAATTTTAACAAGGGCATCCGCCGAGTTGAAGGATAAACCGGCAGGTTCAAAAACCTTGCTGCTCGCTTCTCCTACTACCATAGAGTGAAAAAGCAGCAGATAATTTAGTTATATGATAACCAGGCGAGCAAGCCTCCTCTCTTCTCTCTCTCTCTTCGCTTTTTTGTTGGCGGGTTCACGTCGGTACGTTGCCGTCTAGTTTCAGTCACCGACTCTATGTGGCGCTGCCGGTCCGCTCGTTGGCACCGCCGAAGTCACTGACCGGTTACTTTGCACTTACTAACGACGTCTATCTTTCCTTTGGAAGTCACGTTATTATTATATTGTTGTACATTGTTCGCACGGAAAAAGCTGCCGCCGCCGCGACATGCAACTCCTCTACCCCTCCTTTTAAATGCTAAACTCTCTTATCATCAAAAGTGCTTGCTAATTTGGCCGCGTGTCACTGAACCTGTGCACCGGATCCGGTGTAATTAGCATTCCAACCAAACTGAAAACTAAATCGAGGGCCAAATTTTTGTATCAAATGAACTATTAATTCAAATTAGAAATGAAATAAAGAGCCAATAATCTTGTTTAGACAAATGAAAAATAATTATGGTTTATTTAAAATTATGAAGAATTGAAATTTTAAATTATTTAAATTTATTGTATATCAATCTACTTAAATTAACTTTAAATCCTAACACAACTAATCTAGAGAAATGAATCACTTAAATCTCCGTTTTAATTTATAAAGACTTTTTTATCTTTAATCTTATTTGTTTTAATATATCATTTTATTACGAATTATCACTTTGAATGGTTCTTGTTGACTGTGTTGAGGATTTTTTCTGTCAATTAAAACAAATCCCTGCGGTATTCAAGGTCGTTGAGCTGCCCTGCAAGTTATATATAAATTAATAATGGGAATCGAGCACTCTCAATCCATCTCGAGGCAAATTACCGCCGATAATTACCGACCTCGCGTCGATCTCCATTCATTCAAATTTTTTCTGCAGGCGGCCGCGATTTATTATTATTATTTATTTCCACTCACGACAACTCTTTGTTATTTATTGCTCCGGCTTCTTATGTGCAACACACACATATATATATAGAAATAAATAAATGAGTAAATACATAGGGAATTTGTGCTTCGCGCAGCCGGCAGGTACCGTTAGCACTCTGGAACAAGACCTGCTGCTGTTATAGATTTTGATAGAATTTCTGCGTCTCTTTACCTTCTCGGAAAGGCCCAGAAAGAAGTTTGGTAAAAAGACAAACCTCCACGCATTCAAGTTCTTTTTTCTTCTTCACATGCTCTTCCGTAAGGGGAATTTCCAACAAATAAATCGATCCATGCGTACATCACAGTGAGTCACGCACCCCAATCCAATAATGTAAATTCGCGAATGGAGGAAAAAGCAGTGCTGTGAATCATTCGCAAAATGTTTTGTCTCCGATCAGATACTACATTTCGAAAAGTTTCCATGGGGCAAGAGAAAAATTTTATTTACAAATTGTGTCACTCGAGCGAGTTGACGAACTTTGAGTTGCGACAGAAAAATGAGGTCTGTGGAGAAAATGCGACGGAGGGAAATAGAAAAAAAATTGAGAAAGAGACAAGAAGAGCCTGAATTAATTTATTCACACAAATAATAAAATGTAAACAAATCAGACTTTTTTATCCACAGACATCAATGAAATATAATATTTTTGAAATTAATTTCTAAATCAATAATTTTCCTGCTTTTATTAATTATCAAATTCCATTATCCACTTAATAGTCCTGGGTGCATTCCGAACACCCAAAATAGCGGCCAATTAATTCAATCCACGGGCGTTTTGTTTACCCGGCAAAGTGCACGGCCCACTTTTCTTTCCCGAAATAAACGCGAGAAGCTCCAGAAAGACCTCGCCCCGCGGTGGTCTACGTGCGCAGGGGTTCGTTGACTGACGGAACATCCCCGGATGACCTAGTTGCGTGCGGGGGTCGTTCACCTCTCCACAAATACACACCAACACATAATACGAGAGAGTTCCACTCGCGAGGGAGCTGCGCTCTCTGCATTCATGTCCCGGGCGCGATTCATGGGATGCGCAAAAGCGGCAGCGCGCGCCATAAAAGCAGGGGTTGGTGCGCGTCGAGGTTGAATGCTCTCGATTTTGAGCGCGGAGAGGTCGTGCACCCCTGAGACGTACGATTTGTTTATTGTCGCGCTCACGTGCTAATTGATCATTAAAAATGGCCGACGCGTGAAAGAGCAGCAGGAAGACGAAAAAAAATTGTTGCAGTTATAGTGGCGGCGGGTCGAGTATGTTTGCAGTGACATCAGCATCAGGCCGCCGTGATGAGATGCACTTTTCTTTATATTCGCACACGCGGTTCAACCGAGGTTGTGTAATCACAATGGGAAAAGAATTGCAGAAAATTTTCATCAAATCATCTCAGCAAATGAATGAAATTTTTCTGCATAATTATATTAATAATCTGTACAAAATATTAGCGTGTTTTAATCTTTTTAAATTAAATGTATCAAATCTCTGTTTGAAAAACAACTTAATCAATTATCCAACCCAGTAATCAACTCTACCGGAGTTTGCAAACTTTGATTGCAATCTGCGAAAAGCTCTGGTATAGATTCTTATTTGTGCGAAGTCCCAATCGCAATTGCAAACTCGCAAGTAATTAAACCGTTTTGCAAAGTTTCTGCACATTGGCTTAATTACTCGATTGCGACACTGTCAGGAAAATAAATCTTACTCCGTCGTCGCTTTGCTTTGTGTGTGCATCGTTGCGAATGGAAATAAATAAATAAATAGAGACGGCGCAGACTTGGCGAGAGCAAAAAGTAGTCGTTCGTGTACCTCATCCTGATTGCTTCAATTGTATGTGAGTGGGTTATTGCACTTGTCGACTACAATAAATTACTCGCGTGGAGGCAGAGGGATTAAAAAGTGTATAAAAGAAAATTGGAAATAGAAAACTATATACAAGGAAAAGCAATAAACTCGGCACAAAGTGGAAAATAAAAAATAAAAACAACTTTATAGAGCAAATTGAAATTCTCATCCTATTGATGAGAGAAAAAAAGTAATTTTACAAAAAAATAAATTAAAATTGCTTTCTTTTTCTTTAATTGCTGGTGCTCATCGACCGGAAATTTACTCCCAAATTACACGCCTGGCGCCGCTGCTCTTGGTGTGTGTTTTTTTCCGAGGTCAGTTGCCCCGGTCACCGCGCGGCACTCGAACTACATCGCGCAAAGTGAGTCAGTGCAGCAGGAGAGGAGAAGTGGAGGCTTCTCACTTAATATGTTTTTTACACTCGCCGGCCCCTGCTGAAATTATCCTTCTTCTTAAGGAAGAGGGCCGATGACCCGGCCGTCGCCGCGTGACGTCACGTCTGACGCAAACTCTCCTCCGCCCGCAATGTGGAGCGTGGGTCAATAACCTGCTACTCCAGTGAGAGTATCCACAAAAAATTAGCCGAGTGTGTACGCGTTAGTACATTTCGGCAGCGCGTTGTGTCACTGCGCCGCTTACTTAATGCACCGCTTGCGCTTCCTGTAAATAAATAACACACAAATCGCCACCCGACGCCGTCGACCAGAAAAGAAAGAAAGAAAGAAAGCATTTCGCGCAATTCGTTTTTTTTTTATATAACTTGCGTGCGTTTCTGCGGGCTCACTTTTTCTAGAGACGCAATTTGGCGCCAGGTTGTGTAAACAATAAACGAAAATACTTTGTACAACGAAAACAAAAACAGCCACGAAATAATTGAAGGATTTTGATATAAAAATACAAAAATTAATTGAAATATTAATCAACGTTATAATATTGCAAGAGTCAAAGAACTTTTGAACGATTTCCTCAATTTGCCTTCAGCAGGAATAAATGTCAGTCGGAGATAAAATCTGATTGCGAACGTTTTTCCTTGACAACGTACGTACATATACACACGGTCTGGAATTTCCTTGAAAGTTCAACCGCCTACTCATCAGCTGCCGACTGACTGAGTAACCTCTCCGAAGCAGGGCATTAACCAGCTGCTTTTCGAGGCAGGAGATTCTGGACTCTTCTTCTCGGAAGCGAAGAAGGTGGAGTGGTTGGGAAAAAAACAACTCATATAGGCGCGAGTTCGATAACCTAGTCATTTTTTAGACCCATATTTCCTTGACGCAACTTGTTTTTTTCCCGACCGACATATTCATATTACGCGATTGGGAGAGTTTAAAGAAGAGGCGTCTCTCTTTTTTTTACTTTTCTAAAAAGAAATAAATAAATAATACGCGTCTCTCTCTCTCGTAATAATCGTGTTGAGCGAACCCATTCTGACGTGAGTGTGTGTGCCGAAGTTGGTTGGTTGGTCGGTCGGTCTCCGCTCTGCGTTGGTGCAACAACCCATAACTAGGTCATATCATTAGTACAGTTCGCGGCCGAGGAACGCGACGCGGCGCTGCTCCGACCCAATCCCCGTCAGTCCGTCCCTTTTCTTTTTTCACTACCGTACACACCGCGCCAGTCAATAGACCTTCCATTCGTTAGTTATCAATTCGAGTTTGTGCTGGCGGTTGACAGTGTCCCGAGTGCATCTCTCAGTCAGTGACCGAGGATTATTCCAATTGTTGATATACATACGCGAAACACACACTTACGAACACGATGGCGGTTGTAGTGCAACAGTTTGCAGAAAAGTTAAAAAGTAGCGTCGCCGAGGACGAACCCAAAGTTGAGGAAGATGAGCCCAGACTGGAGGTCATGTGCGACACCGAACCAGGAGACCTTTGGGTAAAATATTTTTCAGGGATTTTTTTTAAACCTTTCAACAAACATTCAGTCAAAATCAAATCCAAATTAATTATAATTAATTTTAATATTTTTCAATCAATTTAAATAATATACTTGGGCAGAAACTGCACGTTGATTTTTCAATCAACACAATTTCAAAAAAAAAAATCAAAATTTGTTAAAATTGTATTATTTAAAAAAATCCAAATTAATTGTTGAAAATGGAATCTATCAAATTTGGCTCACTTTTTTTGCCTTTCCTCTCTTTCCTCAAATTGAATTTCAAATCGGGAATATATTTTCACATTAATTAAGTAGGTCGTTGAATCACGTTTGTGTTTACATTAGCATCCGGAAAATGCATTAGTTTTCCCCGCCGCGACCCAAACAAAACACGACGCGGAAAGATCGAGAGGAGTTCAACAAACTCGGTCTCTGCGTGAACTCATTCGGATTCCGCCTCTCTTGCGCCGCGCCGAAGTAGATTCTCGAACCGCGCTACGGTGCCTCTGTTTTCTGACCTATCCAACATGCAGCCAGCGCCACTCATTGCACTCGGCTGCATTTATTTACTCGTCGTAATGCAGCAGCGCGCACTGGTGCTGACCTGGTTGAACTGTTTCGCAATTTCATATCGCTCTAGCTGGAGTTGCAATGAAAAAAGAAATAAAAAGAACTGCAGCGCACAACTCTGGCGCTTAACGAGTGCAGCGCCTTTGTTTGGGTCGGTACATGCATTGCATTTACTCCACCCACTTGTGCTCACCAGTACAGTACATATATGCAACCGGGTGGTGCACCCACCATGTACTCGGCGGTGCTGCAGACGGATTCCGATCGATAAACTCCGCAGTTATGAAACTGCACCGCCCTGCTGCTGATGACGAACAAGTGTTGTGCAACGCCGGTTGCATAATGCGCTGCTCGTAGAGATAGGTCACTTATTCTGCCGGTGGGCGCTTAATTGGATTTCGCTCTTCGCTTATTTCATTAGCTATTCCAGGAATCAGCAGGCTTCACAATCAAATTATTTGACAAATTAAATTGACCCAGAACAAAACAAGAACAATTTATATTCAGAAGCTAATTCAAATTTTTAATCAGTTTTTTTTTTTAATTAGAAATGATTATTTTTTTTTAACGATTTGTATTTGTGTGTGTTTCAGGGCTTCTTCAGGCGCAGCATCCAGCAGAAAATCCAGTACAGGCCGTGCACCAAAAATCAGCAGTGCTCCATTCTGCGGATAAACAGAAACCGCTGCCAGTATTGCCGGCTCAAGAAGTGCATCGCAGTCGGCATGAGCCGTGACGGTGAGTTATTTTTTACGATCCTTTTTTGTGAGGAGCGCGAACCGTTGCTTGCATTTCTCTTCTCCGCCGACGTCACGTTACATAATTTGCAAAAGGCTATCAGGGAAGCAAGGGCGTCGCGCATATATAGATTTTGGCGAGCGACAGCGCGGCCATTTGTCGAAACGGGAGCGAAGATGGCAGAGTGCGAGAGAGGCTACCGTGCCGACCGAAATAGCTCGCACTCGGCTTGAAGGTCAAGGTCAAAATCTGGTGCGCTATGACGTTAGCGCGAGATTATGGGACTGGCGAGGGCTGCCAACCAACGGCAGGAAGGAAATGAAACCGAGCCCGGAGCGAACGAATGACGGAATATGTATGTACGGTTTATTTTCGGGCTTTGAATCACTGATAAAACTCAGGAAAACATGACTGTATTGGTTTCCAAATCGAGGCCAAACGGGTTGGTTAATTGTTGTTGAGGCTTTTGGGAAAGAAAGCCAAAAATTCCTCTCTAAATCGATATTAAATTATATAACCTCAGAGGTCAAACAGTAAAATATATTTTAATCCTGTTTATTTTTGTAATGATTTTATAAAAATATTTGTTTTTTTTTTATTAAAATTGATCTTTTAAATAAAAGATGAAATTCAAAAATTAAATAAATTTTAAAAATAATTAAGTATTGCAATTTTGGTCATATTTGAAAATTTTGTTTTATTTATTGTTTATTATTTTTATTTCACTGTTCAACTTTAATGTATTAAAAACTTTGTAGCTTGAATTTTTCTCCTCTTGTAATTTATGTTAAAGCAAATAAATTTGTAAAAATTTCATTCTCATTAACATTTGAACTCTGTTGAGAGTTAATTTCTCGGATGGACCGATTTCATTCTCTTCTCTCTCTCTCTCTCTCTCTCTGATCGAATTGCGATTTCTCGCGGCGAATCGTGCTAGAGAAATTCTACTATGCGAAAGAAAGTGATTTTCGCCGCCGCCGCCCGCCGCCTCTCGCTCCTCGGTGCGCGCTCCATGGGTTGGTAGAGCGGCGCGCACTTGGCTCGCAGGCGCGCTATTTTCCACATTCGAGTGTGCTCTCTCCGACGGCGCGCACGGACCGACTGAGTCTCGCGAGTGCACCTTCAGTGATGAGCATGTCGCTCTAGACACACTGGACTTTGCGTGTTTTTTTGTTACCAACGACGAGTTACCCTTTGCGCCATATCGAGCCGGAAAATCCGCCGAAACCGCCATGGATACGGAAAATAAGTTACCTATTTTGAAGGGCATTTTGTCCGGACGTTATTCCTACCACAACGCTCGTGAGTATAATTTTTCCGGAAATTTTTCAAAAATCTAATTTTTATATTTTCAACGGAATATATTTTTTTATGGTAATTATAAACGAATTTAATTGGACGGGTCTCGCGCGAGGTGTCGCTGAACTTTCAGCGAAAGTTAAAAGGAAAAAGTGTTTCAGTGGAGCAGAATGCATATAACAAGGTGGTTAGGGTCGCCTTTTGAATATACATTGTACTTTCTCCGGCGTATAAATCTACCTCCGCTTTTAACCTCGTTAATACCTGTACGCGCGTGTTTACTTTCTCCTCCCGACTGCTTTTGCATTCGTCTTCTCCTTCTTCAGATTTTTTTTTTCAATCTTGTGAATTTCAAATCGGGCCCAAGGCCTCATTGGCAATTCGGTGTATATTATTATTATGTGGTTTTTCAATTTGCATCCATTTATGTGTTTCAGCCGTGAGATTCGGGCGCGTGCCCAAGCGCGAGAAGGCCCGCATTTTGGCCGCCATGCAGCAGAGTTCGAGTTCGAGGTCGCACGAAAGGGCCGTGACGGCCGAGCTCGAGGACGAAGGACGCCTCATGACCACGGTGATACGCGCCCACATCGAAACGTGCGACTTCACGCAGGACAAGATCAGGCCCGTCCTGCAGCAGGCTCGCGAAAATCCTAGCTTCTGCGCACCCTCGACCTTGGTGAGTTGACGAATTTCTATTTTCAGACAGACGACGAACGACCGCCGCCGCGACAATCTGAAAATGCTCGAGATTACTCTCAAGCGGAAATTAAAATAAATTTAAATTCTCAGATAAATTATTAAAAAAAAACTTTTTATTTGGTTTTGAAAATTCTGAAATAAATAAGTTCCGCATTTTTCCCTCAATTACACTTAAAATTTTAATTCAAATATAGAAAATTGATATTTATTTTTATTCAAGTAAAGAAAATTACCAACCGATTATAAATTTCCGAATTAAAAGTTTTAATTAATTTTTATTACATTTACCAATTCAGAAAACCTTGGTTGTAATTCTCAAGTTGAGCAAATCAGCTATAACGGGCCGAGTGCCAAACTCAAGGTCCTTCCTCTCTTGCCAATTTTAACTACCCCCGCGCCCGGCCGGCTCGGCTCACCCCCTCCGTCGACCTTTGACTTTTTGCGCGTTGACCTCTTTCACCTTGCTCGATTCAACCCCTCGTCTGGTGCACCGCGCGCTCGGTGCAATTATTATTGCGCCGCATCCTTGGTGCTCTATGCACATATGTCAGAGTTGCGCGCGAATAATATAATAAAAAGCGGAGAGAGAGAAAGACAAGTTTGTACTCCTACGAGATCGTGACCCTTTCTCCTTGGCGGATCTTTATCTAGCACAATAAAACTACCACATTCTCGGCCGCGACTCTATTTGCTCTAATTGCCTTTCCATCCGGCTGACCTTAACTCAAGTGAAGTGTGGATGAAATTTAAATTGCAAAAATTAACAATTTTTCAATTATTTAATATTATTTAAATGACAATTAATTCATTTTATTACTTATAAAATGAATTTAAAAAATTAATAATATATTTTGTCAGTCCGAATGTCTTGTTTTTGTTATGACTCTAAAATTCTCTATTTATTATTCGGTCTGGTTCGCCCCGGGACGACACCCTGTGACCTCTGGCTGTGTATTTTTCACAGCCAAGGTCGCCTCTCTTCTTCTCTTCATTTGTGATGTCACCGGAAACCTTGAGCGCCTTATTCATGCACAGTTATATTCACTTATATTCTCCTCCGCGCTTTTTTATTACATCAATAATGCCAAGTGCTATTTCGAAAACGGACGCTTTTCCGCAACCCCTCGTGAACCCCTAGCTGGCCGGGACCTTGTGAGTGTGTGTCGTGCGTCATCGGCCGAGGGCGGGGCCACACGCGGGTTGGAGAACGCCGGGGTGCACACGCAGCAGCTCCGCCGCCGCCGCCGCCGCCGATTCTCTTTATCGACTCGGTGCGAGTCAAGGCCACTGCGGCGCCAAGGTCAAACGCGGCTGTCAGAAGCTGGCGAAAAACACGTGACTCACATTGCACACACACACCTACGTCGAATCGGCACGTAGTTGCCATTTTTATCTCGGAGGCCGATTCGCGAAAATAATTCGGTGCGCAGAAATTTGCCGAGAAAGAAATTTAGGCCTGGGTGCTCCGAGCACTATCGATCCCCTCAGGGTTGGCGAATTCGCAGCTTGTTGCGTCAGTCCAATTGATTTTCAAGAAGCAAGGCGGAAAAAGCAAACCTATTTTTTATTTAAATCTGAAATAATTTGCAAATTTAAAATGAAATCAATGTTGGAGCTGGCAACGAAATTGCGGAAAATTTCCCTATCCTTGCGTTGACCGCGGAAACGGTCGCTGTTGCCATAACAAATATAATGGAAAATTAACCTTGAGCCAAGGTCGGCCGACGCGCTGCTCCTCTTATCGTTCGCCTTTTTTGTTTGCATTGAAATGTGAATAATACACCGCCGAGCGAGGCAGACGCGACGAGATAATAAATCTCCTCTCTTGTAGTGTTCCTCCGGTTGCATACATTTTTCTAATTTTTTTCCTCTCTGATTCGCAGGCATGTCCTCTCAACCCTCATGCCGCCCCCCTGAACGGTGCGCAGGAGGCCCTACAAGACTTCTCGGCCCGCTTCTCGCCGGCCATCCGCGGCGTGGTCCAGTTTGCAAAACGCCTGCCCGGATTCGCCCTCCTAGCTCAAGCAGACCAGGTGACTTTGCTCAAGGCTGGAGTCTTCGAGGTGCTGCTGCTTCGCCTCGCGGCAATGTTTGATGCTCAGGTAAGACGCAATTCAAATTACACAAATAAATAAAAAGAAAGAAACTCTCGAAAATTATCAGATTGGCTGTCACGTCTAATTTCAAGGGCCAAAGTTCAAGGCAGTTGCAAAAAAATTTGGCATTGAGATAAAAAAAAAACTTCAATGCTATGACTATATAAGATAAAAATTGAATTAATAATAAAGATTATTATTGAAGAAATTAACTAATAATTTATTTTTCATTTCTTTGCAGTCTGGTCGGCTAGTGTGTCTGAACGGTCAGGTGTTGTCGCGCGATTCTGCACGTTTGTCAGCATCAAACGCGCGCTTCCTGGTCGACTCGATGTTCGATTTTGCCGAGAGGCTCAACGGCCTGGGACTGAGCGACGCCGAAATCGGGCTGTTCTGCTCGGTGGTGGTGATCGCGCCCGACAGGCCCGGCCTGCGCAACGTCGAGCTGGTCGAAAAGATGCACCGGCGGCTCAAGAGCGCCCTGCAGCGGCTGGTCGGCGAGACCCACGGCGACAACGCGTCCGCCGTCCTCGAGCAGCTGTTCGCAAAGGTGCCCGACTTGCGCACCCTCAACACCCTGCACTCTGAAAAGCTGCTCGCCTTCAAGATGACCGAGCAGCAGCAGGACAACACCAGCAGCAACTGGGCTAGTCAGGAGACGTCGAGCAGCAGCAGCGTCGAGTCCGAGGAGATGAGTCCCTACTCCGAGTACCAACAGTCCTCCTCCTCCTCCACGTGTCCGTACAAAATGGAAGGATCTCCCCCGTCGACCGACGAGTCGTGCGAAAAGGTAAAATTCAATTTTCAAAATCTAAATTTATTGAAAAAATGTACTATTTTTAAATTTCTGATAGCAAAATATGTCCTCATTAAATTTTGATATTTTTTTTTATATTATTTCCATATAATTTTGGAAAATTTATAATTGACTAAATTTATAAAAATCAAATAACTAAAATCAAAACAATAGGCTGGCATTAAAATTTACATCAGTCTTATGGGAATTGTTTCACAGTAAACATTTTTCTCGGTGTAGATAATCATTTTTAAATCTTGGTCAGTTTTTAAATTTCTCTTGATTTTTTGTTGCAGGTTTGCAGTCTGAAAAGGCGCGGTTCCACGGTCAGTATGTACGAGCCGAACCCCAAGTACGCGCGCAAGATCCCCGAGTCACCCCCCTCAGACTCGGGCATCGAGTCCGGCACTGAAAAGCTGGACAAGTTTTCGGAAACGTCCGTGTGCAGCTCGCCACGATCCTGCGCCGACGTGTCCGAGGAGCCGCCCACGGCCTTCCCCGAGGACATGCCGGTGCTGAAGAGGGTGCTGCAGGCGCCGCCCCTCTACGACACCAACTCGCTCATGGAGGCGGCGTACAAGCCGCACAAGAAGTTCCGCAGGCCCATTCCAGGCGAGGAGACGACGACCTCGTCCTCGCCGGCGCCACCCCCTGCGGCGCCCAGCCCCTCGGCGGCGCCGTACAAACCGGTCAGCCTCAGCGCCACCCACACCATGCTGGCCCGATCTCTGGCCGAGTCGCCGAAACTCACCCCCGAGCAGATCAAGCAGGCCGAGGTGATCCAGAACTTCATCATGCAGGAGCCGCCGACGTCGTGGCCGCCGCACCAGGCGGCCACCGGCCAGACCTCGGTCATCATGAGCAGCAAGGCCGTCGCCTCGACTGAGTCCCAACAACCGCTCAACCTCTCGATCAAGATGTAAACAAAAAACTTTTCTTCTGCCGGCGGTTGCTGCTGCTTTCTGACTTTCCGCGGACTCTGATATAGAAAATGCAGTTTTCTTTCAATTCAGTTATATATTTTTTTTCTTGTTCTCCGCGATTATTATATATTGATTATTTTTATGTGCCAGATGACGAAGAGTGCAATTTTTCACTTCCTAAGACCAAATACTGACTTTTTAAATTAAGTAATTAATTGCTCGAGTTTAAGGTCGCCGTACTGCTGTTGTAAAATTAATTTGATATTTTTTAAATGCGTTGACAGTTTGATTGCGATGATTTGACTAGTGTACATGTACAAAGCAAGTTATTTTTCGTCAAGAACCCTATCAGCACCTCCTTTTAATTATTATTATTATTATATCGTCTCGTCTCATTTTAAACTCTGTGTAAATTATTACACTTTCCGTTATTTACTAATAGCAAATCGTCCGATTTTCAAAATTCGCAGACTCTCAAATTTGGAAAAAGCGATTTAGTGCAATGCTGTAAATATCGTAATTATTATCATAATTATAAATAATATCTGTAGGCATGCGATAATGTCTGATAATATTATGTATTTTCCCCAACGCGAGTTTGAAAAACTCGAATGCAAACTTTTTATTAATAATAGAGTAATAATTGAATGTAATCGTAAACACACACACACGCGCGACTAAAAACCAAATCGTCAATTTTTGGTTTTAAAACTTAATAATTGATACTTGATGATGAAGAAGAACACACACATTAACACACACACACTACATAGCAAATCACAAACACATGTACACACAAACACACACAGCTCGTAAATTCAAATCCACCCCAATAATGTAGCGAAATTTCGGGATATTGTACATATGGACTTTTCGAAACCAAAAACTAATCTAACTCTGTCTAAAAATAGAGGATTTGAGTTTTGATAGAGAAAGTAAGAGAGAGAGAAAAAAGTTTCGAATCATTCTGACTGCGTCCGGGGAAACCCTCCGGGTGATGCACGATGACATTTTTTACAAAAATCTTCTTCACAAAAATGAAAAGTCTGTGTAGCGTTTAGTAGTTAAAGCAGTAATTAACTAATTCGTAATTAAATCCTAGACAATTAATTAATTAATGTGTAATTGCGAAAAAAGAACTCATCTCTCGACCGTATTAAAAACGCAAATCAAATCGGTTATTTAGTTGATTAATTAATTCTTTGTGATAATCGTTGATTATTATTTAATGTCTACATTACTTCCTCCAATCAGCAGCTATATATTTTCCACTTTTTCAAAAGTCGTTTTCATCTCTTGTGTTGATTTGTTTATTATTGAATTCTATATTTGCATTCTAAACACACAGCGAGATACGAATTTTATATACAACTTCCTCTATGCTGTATAACTCTTTAAAAAGTAATTCATCCATTATTAATAGAAGAAAAAATCGATCTACTCTCAATGTGAACCAACAACCGAAATACCTGGACAGGCGGTCTCTCCGCGAACGCGCCCAAGCCCAAAAAAGTTTATAAATCGGAACACGTAAAATAAATTTGATCACTTTTATATCTTTATCACGTTGAACAAGTACAAAAAATAACATCTTTCTCATCTCGCGAGCTGTGGCGCGTCCGCGGAAACTTTGTCAGGACCAATTTTGCAATGATTGTGCAGTATTCTATATTCTCCCCCATGATAATAGATTTTTCCACAATCGCTTCTATACCCTTCTTCTGTTATTTTCTACGAACCCGCTTTCTAATTTATGCCTTTTTGTTACACGATATAAATGTTAAGGTTAAAATTTTAATGATGACGAGTAAAAAAAAAATTACGACGAGATATATTTTTGTTAGTCTGAAATTCTAATTGACGGAAAATACTTTGGATTATTTTCTTAGCCCACCTACTTGAAAAATCATCCTGCGAAAGTGGAACATTTTTTGAGCTATAAATGAATTGTGCGAACTTTTTTGAGAGTGACTGCCGCTTTTTTGTGTACGACGCTAATAAAAACCAAGCAAGCAATGGATGCGCGCGCGTAAAAAAATTGTAAGCTACAATAAATGGTTTTTAGGGGAATATTTGTGAGTGCAAAATGCTGCAGAAAGAATGCGCTGTTTCATTGTTTTCTTTTTTATAATAAATAGAAAATGTGAAAAAAATAATGTAATAATTTTAAGTTGGTATAATGACTGTTTATTGTGGTCAATAAAATATGGTAATTTTAAATTAAAAAAAAAACACCCTGTTTCATTTCTATTGAATATTTTTATTCTGAAGTTTTACATCAAGAACTCGATTTGTCTTGAAAAAAGAGTTGGTTTGATTCTCAAAATATTATACAACTTTCTTCTCTCGACTGACTGAACATAGATAGTTTTACACAAGTACATATCAGCTAGTAGGTATTTTTCTCAGCATCTTTAACCAGTTGACATCCATCACTAAATATTCATTTTGAACAATTATATTATATTACTAATTTGTTTGTGTTTTTTGATTGGAGCCCTCAAAAGTAACTGACAAAAACAAGCACTGGACTCTGCACCGTTTGGTTAGTTAAAAAAATGAGAATTTTCCAGCAAAGTGAGAAGCGTTCTAAATTTAAGTTAATAATTTGGCAAGACCATAACGAGTTAATCGATTAAGACACACAAGTTCTAAAACTAACAAAAGCCTACGAAAAGAATACTAAATTAATTTGAGCTCCTCAGATTTGAAGAAAATTCCTCATCAGTCTTTTTAAAAACAGCAATCAATATTATATATTTTCAAACGAACCTTCTGATTATTTTGATCAGTTATTTTTACTAGATAAAAACAGGAAATTTAGGCAACTCCTTCAGGTACTCAACTAGCAGAAATGAATTTCGTTGGTTGTGCGCCAAAAAAATTATCAAAATTGTAAAAAATTTCACTAGAGAATGACAACATTTAAATTATTTAAATGATAATTGTGTGCTGTTGTTCGTCTGAAGAGAAGTCAATTACTTTTGAGGCAAGTCTTTTTTTCAACTCGAAATCTAGGAAAAATTTTCCTTTGAAATCAAAACCGTCCTAGATCACAAGATATTGTTTCCATACAATAAATATTGTTCCTTTTGAAAACAGCAAGTTTTTCCTCAGTGGTTATTTAGTTATTATCGGCAGAATAATATTATTATTACATGATGATATCGCATGTGTGGGAATATAGTTTTCATCTTGTTTGTGCCAGGGCTCAGGTCATGTACTTCATGACTACCCTGAGGGCGTACAACAGTTCTGCCTGTAGTCGGGCTTCCAGCACCATCAAGTTGACGTGGATCTGAAAGGAGCAAGGAACAAAATTACTACCACTGTTTGAAAGTAGAAAAGAAGCTGAAAGAATTAAAAGTCAAGAGTTTCAACTTACATTCAAGGTGTACAAAGAAAGCTAATTAAAAATGCAATCAGATTTCTGAAAAATTTTAATTGAATGTGGAAATGAATGAAAAGATGACTGAAATGTAAATTTATTTATAGTCAAATTTTCTCAGGATGAAATTAGTTAAATTATTGATTGTATGTATTTTTTTTACTTAATTACTTTTAATAATAAAAAAATGCTGATTGCGAAGCGTCTCGGAAATTTTGGAAAATTAAGATTTTTATAAGTTTTGATCCTCGGACGAGCATTTTGCAAAATTACTATCAGAAAAATTTAGAATTTAAATATAAAATAATGCTAATTTTAGCCATCACTAAAAACTGACTTTGACATAAGCAAAATGAATTAAAACCAAATTTAACCAAAAGAGTTGGAATCGTTTTGCTAAGTTTTATCCAAACATGGATTGTGATTTTTTTTTACTAGACTTTTTCAATGTGCAATTTTTTATTTAATTCTTTGCACAATTTTTACCTTTTCGCTGTGTTCGAACTCTCTGAGAACGCTGATATAGTCCCTGGTGGTTATTCTTTCCGGGAAACAGCAGGTCGACTTGATGTAGGCCTTGAGCCACCTTTCCAGCAGCTGATTCACCTCTCCGTAGTCATAATCATCATGCCTTAGATTGATAAAAATAAGTATCGAGGTGATTTTTGGGATCAAATATGACAAACCTGATGCCAAACATGCAGTGAATGTAATTCCAGATGGCCCTTCGGAAGCGTGACGTGTCCACGTCTGTGCGTCCACCCATGGTGTAGTAGGTCAAGTTGTAGGCAGTCTTGAACTTTTCGTCCAGCAGATTTCCCACATCGTTGTAGAGACGGTTGACTAGAGAATATCCATGGTCCTCCCAAGAGTAATCCTAAAATTGATTTTAAATTTTTATTGTAATTCGTTTTAATTATTACTGAAAATGAGCTAAATAAAAATTTTATGCTTCTATTTTTTTTTTAAATTTATTTGTTTGATTTTATTTGCTTTATAGTAAGAAATAAATAAGATTGTAAACAAAAAATATATCCAAAAAATACATTGTTCTTGTCTTCAGCCAAAGGACCAAAAATTTTGATTTAGAAAAATTGTTAAAACTTAACATATTTAATTAATCCATTTAAAAAATCCAATATGATTTTCTTTCTTTACAAATTACAGTAACATTGAGTAAATGAAACCTTCAAATATATATTTATCCTAAAAAATTGAATTTTTTTTCTGTTTAAATTGTTTTATAAATTGATGATTATACCTGAACCCTGAATGTGGGCAACTCTGCCATCTCTCCCCTCCTCTGAAAGTCTTGATACAAAAAGTCTGGGTCCTCAACAAACTGACTGAGGTCAGTTGGCTGAGATTGTACTGGAGTATTGGCGATTTCGATAGCCTTGTCGCATTCGACGTGGAGGAACCGTTTCGTCTGCTCCTCAATTGAGAATTCCTCCTCCCGTTCGGACAGACTCTTCATCCTCTCCATCAGGATGTCCACGCCGACTTCAGGTTCGACAAGATCTGAATACACAAATACAAACAATGCATTAGTTTAAATTATATTGAAGAAAGCAAATTAAGTCAAAATATAGCTATTGGAATTTATTTCTCTATTTCTAAGATAGGCTTGAAAAGATATGAATAAAAATAAATGGTTCTTACAAAATATAAAATTATTTTATTTTAAAAATCATAAACTGCTTTTCGAAATTGTAATTAAATTCCAATAAGTATTTTATACCTTGGAATAGACCCAGGTACGTAAATTTAAAAAAAAAATATTAAATAATGAAATTGAGTTGAAGAAAAATATTCTCTTAATCTATGAGTTAAATTCCAAGACTATAATATCCTTAATTTACTAATAAAATTTCCACTGAATCCAAATACTTTTAAATATTTTTCAGTTTCAAACTCTTTTTACCTTTGATTTCTGCAGGTGCATCTGGATCATCATGATCATTGATTCCACAGCCAAAAACAAAGCTGGCAAGTGCATGGAAATGCGTAAGTAATACTATGGCGTGCACCACCTCGGCCAGCGACCAGTTGCTGCCCCTGGTGAGGCGTTCGATGTGGCACTTGTTGAGCAGCCATGGCCTGTTAAATCCGACCAAAATCAAAACTTCAATCAAAAAATGAATTTCTGCAAACCTGTGGGCCAAAATTTTGTTGATCTCGTTGAGCTCGTGCAGTTTCTGGGGCACAAACTGGAGGCCTCTGAGCCAGCCGGGGTCGCCGCCCTGCTCGAGGAACTCCTCCTTTTGGATTTCGACCAGGTAGCTGCACTGGTGGCGCGCCGCTGCTATGATGGCAATGTAGTGGCGGTAGTCAGCAGGCAGCGGTCCGTCGCCGCGCAGGATGAAGTTCTGCGTGCGCAAGAAGACCTCCAGGTATGTCGGGTGGTCACCCATCGTCTTCTGTATGCGCTCCAGCTTGGATCTCGTTTGCCCACGGCTCTCTGAAATAAGGAAAAAAATTAATAAAAATCAATTCTAAAAATTACATTGAATGAATTTTTTTTTGTCAAAGTTATCTTAAAAATTAATTGTTGAAAATAATTTTAAAATTACATTTAAAATCTAAAAAATTATATTTAAAAAAGGAGCATACATTGCATTTTTTTTTTTTTAAATGAATATATATGAAATTAAAAAATTGATAATATTAATTTTAAATATTTTGAAAATTTAATATTTCATATCTTATGTATATGATTTAAATTACATAACTGGAGGAATCAAAGTTTTTTTTTTTTAATTTGTAAGTTGATCGAGCGATAAAGGGCAAGGCAATGATTAATTTCCCCCTCAATCGTGCCACCGCGTTTGCAACAGAGCTGCTTTGTGCAAATTGGCTAATTTGATGATGAAGCACGCTATAAATCGCACGCCACCATCACACCGACAGAATTACTCACGAATATAAATAAACGTCCACAAAAGGGCGTTTTCTGACTGATGTATTTTTTGTTTGCTCATTGCCTGAAATCACGCAAAAGAGTGTTGTCGGACAGACCTTGTTTACACGCAGAATAAAAAATTTCGACGAACCGCACCAGCGTATATAGTCAAGCGAGGCAAACAATCAGCTTTTTGTCCCTGGAAGCGATCGACGGAAAAGTATAATAATTCTGTTTTGCGGCCGTTCTATGAATCAGACTGCTTGGTTGAACACGAAGCTACTAGAATTTTTTTCCAACTAAACAGCGGAAAAGGAAAGAAGTGATGCAATGAGAGGCAGTGCTGCTCACGATAAAATCAACAACTTGCAATTGCATTCTATTAACAATACGATTATTGGGTAAGTCTCAATAACAAAGCAGATAAAACGGAATAATATTTCCGATTCCCGTTTAGACCATTTCGACTGCAGATTTGGAATTTTCATGCTCGAAAACATATAAATTGATATGTTACAAGACTATGCAGAGACATTACTTTTCAATCAGACCTTCAGGTCGCGTCAGGGTGGCACCTTATGGATTTTATAATTTTTTATGGCGAACGCATTCAGATACGACGCGAGGCACGTGTCGACTGAAAATCAAGGTGCGGCGTAAGAAGACGTTTCTTTTAAATAAATCAGGAACCTGCGGCGACCTTCAGGTCGTTTCAGGGTTTGCACATAAATGTGTAAGGTCAGATTTTTCGCAAAGCTCTGCCAAGTTTGATTTTTTCACTAACACCTCTGGAGCACATTAATGAGCAAATATAAAACACTCAGGTTGTAAACCCCGAGTTTGCGGAACCTGAAAAAGGTGAAATAATGACGACTTCTAGAAAGTGGTGCGTGTTGGGTATGGTTTTATAGGTTTTCATGACATATGAACTCAAATTTGCTGTCAAAATTTAATTTAAAAAAAAAAAACATCTTAATCTTTAACTTAAAATTTACAATAATTAATGGAAAAAAATATCTTACTTACTGAAAAAATGCGCCTGTCAGTCTCAGCACGTTATTCCCCGATTATACAGCAAATTACGCTGATTATAACGACAGATAATTAATCGTTTCAAAATTTTCCGACAAGTACCTGAGCCACTTCTGGTCTCGGACTGACTGACTGTCTGTTTGATCATCGGTCTCACGTGTAACACAATATAATTATTTTTGCAATCTTAATAACAATTCCGTGCGGAATGAAATAGGAATTTTTAATTGCCCCCCACTACGCACTGCCACACGAGACATAACATACTCGGGCAGACCTTGAGTACATGATGCAACCCAACGTACAACTCAAGGCTCTCTCGTTACATTTCACGGTCTCGGTCGCTCTCTGGAAATCAGACACACAAATTTCCAAAACAAACATACAATTCGTTTGTTCGTCCAAGAGAGTGTTTGTCTACATTAAAGTGTCTGTTTGCCCTCGGAATTATTATCTCTGATGCGTGGAAATAATAAGACAAAAGTTTGTCCAACCAAATCCATCTCCTCTTATTTACAATCAGCTAGAAATAGCCACCGAAAGGGTTAGATTCTCGATTTTTTTTTCTCTATAAAATAAATACCTCGGTCGAAAAAATGCTGAGCTCGCTCGCATCCAATTTCGGGAAGTGGCACCACAAAACGCTCTTCAGCTCGCCTCCTATTCCTAGTCCAGCATAATTCTTGGTCTGCAACGGCGCTACACGTGAAGATTTCGACGGCCGATCAATTCGTCGGCACCTTCAGGAATATTCTTCCAGAATTATATTAATTTACTTTTTGCTCCGTCGTCTCTCCGCTGCCTGCCTGTTTCCAACCGAGCTGCTTTTGGGTTCTTCAAGCTCCGCCCCTCTCAAGATTTATTGCCCGCCGAGGACTCGAGGAGCTTCCCGCCAAGGAGGTTTGAATCACTGTAATGCAAAAATTCAGAAACCGGTTAAATTCTAGCATAACCGGTTTAAAAGTTTCACTTGATTCAAATTTTTTAAGTTTTTAGTAAATTTAACCAATTTTAAGTATCTGATTTGATAATATTTTGTAAATTTACATTCAAAGGCATGCAAATATTTTTTTAAAGGCTGAATTTTGTAATTTTAGCGATGAAAAACCGATTATTGGCAAGTGTGATCATTTGATTAACCGTCCAGTTTTTGCGGGTTTCGATTGTAGGTGGTTTCTTAGATTGGTACAGCCGACTCCAAGAGATGGCAGGGCGGACGGCGCCAGAATTGCAAGTGCATGGCTCTGTTTGCACCTTGGTTTACTCTCTCTTCTCTCTTCATACCCGTCGCCGTCGGTCGTCTCTAGGGTGCCCAGGAAGCAGGATGTTTCCGCAATGGGTCTCGACGACGAGCAAGAAGGGCCCTGGGTGCTCACATATTTTCCAGTCCTGCCGTTGTTGTTCGTCCCTCTGATTATCAAACTATTCGTAAGTCAAAATTAATTACAAAAAAATCTAATTTTCAAGTTTGGTCAAACAGCGCGCTGCCTTAAAATCTTTTCCAGCAGTTTGGTTTGGCAAAAAAGCAAATCAAGGCTTAAATCCTTTGTAAAATGAATTTTTTTTAAATTTTACATCGTTTTAAGCATAATTATGTGGCATTTGCAATTATCAACGGCTATTGGAGGCCCAAAATTTTTGCGAAGCTACCTCCTAAAAAAAAAAATATGTCAGGATCGTGAGAATTTAGGTGGAATTCCAATTGACAAATTCTCGGGTCTTGTTTCGCTCATGCCCTTGAAGGATTTTTATTACTCTAGCACAATCTACGGGAGCCCCTTGAGCGGTCCCTAAAATTATTTCCCTCAAAGGTTTTGAACAGTGTATTTTCCCTAAAATATTTTTCTCACCATCCCCTAAACTTCAGTTTTGCCTAAATTTATTTTATCTTGAAATTGTACTTCAAATCATTTCAAATGATGTTCCAAATCGCTACCTTAAATGCAAGCATTTGTCGGCAAATGAGTGAAAATATGAATTAATGATTGTGTTAACTCTTCAGTTTAAATTTTAATATGAAGTATATTGTACAAAATTAATAGATTATTTGAAAATTATATTTATAAAAATTGTTATTGCACGGAATAACTTATCTTAATGTGTAAGACCGACAGCGGATTGAAAAACGCAATAAGTACAGACCATGCTTATGAAATTTATTTTATTACCTTTTATTATTATAATAATTAACTCATGTTATTATTTATTTATAATTAAAATTTAAAAAAAATTTAATTTTAAGTAAAATAATTTATTTGTGCTTCATTTTTTGTTTATTTATTTTTAAAAATCATAAAAAACTTAAAATATTTATATTGATAATTGCCTTTTTATTCTGGTTTAAAATAATAAAAAATTTAATACAATTTTTCAAATAATAATGATTTAAATAAAAGTTAAAGTAATATAAATGACACTATTAATTTATCTAAGAAAGCCATAGACTATTTCTTCTCAGAGAATAAGCAAAATTCCAAGCGATTTTGTGCCGTCTGTTAAAATGCAAGACATGAGGACCGGAATAACTCGCGCATCAGGCATTTTTAAAGTCGACTGTCTGGTTTAGCGTCGTCGCTATCAGAAATGCGTGTGTTGTTTGTCATGCATTTGTACAGACGGCACAATATCGGTTGGAATTTTGCTTATTCTCTTGAAACAAGAAATATTCTATCGCTTTCTTGAGTAAATTTTGTGGGCGATTCCATTGTTGCTTGGGGGTAATTCTGATTGCCATAACCTTTGATATTCCTATTTTTTGAATTTATGACTTATAACAATCACGATCTTTGAATTTTTTTAAATTTTCCGTTTAAAAAATTTCTTTCTTTGATTTGACGTTTTTTAAATTGTCCGTATGAAGTCGGCCAGGGGCCGCGCTGGTGGATTTGGTGTTGATGCGCAAAAAAGTGTTTAATACAAAATTTACTCCCTTTTTGCTAAAATTTTCTCCATATTCATTATTTAAATTTTAATAACATCGGTTTAAAGTTTTGAGTTTCAAATTTTAAATTTTTATCTTATGTACCAGGAATGTAAACCTGACTATTCTTCATTAAAATTTAAAATGCGTGATTTTTTGGGTAAATGTAATAAGTGCTGCAACTACTAAATTCAGTCGGCCCGCCATTTATTGCCTCCTCTTTTACAAAGAGAGTCATATTCCAGTCTACAGTAAATGACCACTGGCTGAATCGGAATACTCAAATTGTTTTTAATTTTAAAAAGTGCATGGATTAAAATCCATGCGCTTAAATATTGTTTCATATTTGGAATCCTCATCAAAAATCAACAACAGCAAAGCTGGAATTTTGGGTCTGCTACATTTACAACCCCATTTGCTAAAATTAATTTATCGAGTAAATGAAAATTAACAACGTTGAGCCTAGTTGCCAGAGAGCTCCTGCAAGAAATATTTCTACTTTTTCACAAGATTATCTTGTCATTTTGTTTTCAGGTTGACCAGGTTTTTTATGACAAAAATTTTAACAAAGGGAAGTATGTATAAAAATTGATCTTAATGAAAATTGGCATGAAGGTAGTGTTGACCTTCAGGAACAACGTGTCGAGAGTCGTCAGTCTCGATCTAGCATGGTTCCGCCGACTGAGCCACTAAAAGTTGCCGATTTTTGCGTATGCAACCCGCTCCACGTCCCCACCGCCGCACTCTCTTCTGCACGCTGCTGGTACAGCTGGTAGAGCCGGCGGGCGGAGAGGCGAGTGCAGCGACTGCAGCGCGAGAGGGGCTCGCGCGCACAATGCATGGTGAGTATAGCGTCTTAGAAACGAGACGGAGTCTCGTGGTTGTTAATATATTAGATTTTTGTACGAAGAATCATATAATTTTTAATACTTGCTATAAATAAATATAATTCAGACATTCAACTTGATAGCTGCTTAATTGAATCAAAAAACGAAAAAAAAACAACATCTTTAAAAACGTTAACAATTATAAATTTTAAAGAAGTCAAATATTATTAAATTTTTTATTTGTGAACGAAATAAAAATAAAACGAGATGCATTTGTCGCTTATGGCTCATTTTTTTTTAATATTGTCAATATAGCTTATAGCTTTCTGATCTGGGTACATACTATGTTCGGCATTGGCAACACAGAGGGCTGCACCGACTTAATAATAATTCCTATAACTCTTTTATTAAGGACTCCATATTGCAATGCTAAGAGTACCAAAGAAGTTTTTTATCGCGCATTATGCCCTATGAACCCACAATTGTTTCTCCTTAACTGTTTAGGGTTATTCACTTATCAATTTGCGAAATTTTGAGCAATCAATTTCCGGCAGATTTTTTTAATCGCCAAAAACAAAAATCTCTATAAGACGCCACGTAAAAATTCAAAAAATCATATTTCAAGATCAACGCCCCATTTTTCTTAGTGCAATCAACTCCACTGATAAGGAAGAATCCATTAAAAAAATCTGGCAAACATTTCATGCCGATTTTCCGCATATAGGAGTTGTAGATGTCTATAAGGAGGCCTTAAACGCATTTTCCTACAAAACGCGCTGCTGGTGCCATACAACACATACTACAGCTGGAGGTTAGCTGGAGCCAAGGAGTTTCCAATCATGGATGCTGCGCAATGGTAAAATCTTGTTGTGACTGGAGTTTGGAGTGATGTTGAGAAGTTTTGCAACTGCTGTGAATTCAGGGCAGAAATGAGTGACATTGTCAATTGATTTGAACCTTTCAATTGCTTATTCAATGTGGCTTGAATTTTTTTATTTTTTTTTTCAATTTGAAAATTATTTTCTTTGATTTAATATGCATTGTTTTGTGTCGTTTAAAAATTCCACCACATTGTGAATTTTGAAATTTAACATGATGTAACATTTTTAAATTTTCATTTCATAATTTCATTCGAATTGCTTCTGGAGTATTATGTACGTTTTGATTGGGAAATTTAATTGCCTAAATTCATGCATACACATTTACATATGAGTGTCATGATTAAAAGAAGCTCTATTTCCCTCCGTGTGTAGGGGAGTGAGGAGTAAAGCCTCCTTCCTCCGCTTCATATGAAACAAAACCATTTCTCTCAATCAAAGTGATTGTCAAACATATTGGCACAATCGTTTTCACACAATTTGATTGAAAAAAAATCATCTTGGTAACATTATAAATGATAATGCAAACAGATATAAAAAAAGTATATATATCAATTCAAATTAATAGTAACTATTAATTTAAATATGTATCTTCACTCTGGTTTTATAAATACAAATTATGGATTCTTATATTTATAAAACTAGAGTGAAAATACATATTAAAATTAATTGTTACTATTCATTCGAATTTAAAAACTCTTATTTACATTAGTTTGCATTGTTCAAACCAATTTTTCAAAGTACCAATATACAGGAGCTAGGAGCAGAAGCGGACTGCTTGCAGAGAGCAGTTGCAGCAATAAATACGTGCCGCGTTCGAATCATTGCCTTTTAATGAAAAATTGAAACCATCAGGTGAACCTCGTTGGAAAGAATTTTTAAAAAGAAAATCTATTTTTTGTTACAAAAGCCTTTATATCTGTTGCAGTTGCTGCAGACAACTTTGGAGAACTCAACGAGCAAATGATAGCACACTATTACTGAACGTGGCAGATCAGCTGGACGGGAGTGTTAGCAACCCCAATGATCGGTCTCCAGTGGCACATTACCCCCGTAATTGAAATAGTTGTTTTTAGAGGGCCCATAAAATTCCAGAACACACAAAAAAATATAAGGAGGATTTCACCTAGGGATTATAGTGGAAAAATTTACATTCCACACCAATGAAAAAAATTTAAAAAATTGTGAACATACTACTGCTGTTATTCCAATTCCGAGCTGCATATTTCCGAGAAAATCCATCTAGCTTCATCATTGCTCAACTGATGCACCTTTTTCTCGCTTGCTCTTCGATTTGCGAAACCTAAAAACTATTCCATCACATAAATAGGTATAAACAAATAATACTCTACATACATATCAAAGCATAAAAGTCCCTGAAGTCAACTTCCATGCCAGACGTGCTGTATTGGGCCAATTGTGCACGACCGAAGCGGCCACGGAGCACTTCTTTGAACATCAAATCAGCTGAGGGCAATTCAAGTGATGTGAGAACCTCTAGTCGTTGCTTTGAAAAAAGAACCCCACATTCCAAGATGGCCTAGAAAAAACAGCAGGTTTAAAATCTACTTCATTAACAAGAAATAACAATTACCCAGCATCCCAATATTAAAAACGGCAGCGTTTGGGTGGAGGCAGACCTACGACCTGTCTCAACATCGTCTTCGGGTTCGTCTTGTTCAGCAACAAACTCATCAGGAAAGTCGACTTTAGGTCCTGTGGCTCCAAAGATCACTCCCAAAATTCGGCCAAGTCTTCATGAATTGGTGGCGCTGTTGACATGGGCGAAAATTAATGATCAAAAATCTTGCCCAAAATTGTATAACAAACCTGGAGTGGCCTGAGCAGCTTTGATCTCTTCTCTCGATTCTTCTGCCAAATCGGAGGACATGATTTCATGGTCTGCCGCAGAAAGGGAAACAGATTGTTTTTCACTGGCTTAGGAGTGCATTTGTACATAACTCTTGATCGTCCGCCCTGTATGTTTTAAATGTGTATTATAATGAGTGTTTTGTTAACCCGAAGACTGTCGCAACTATGATGTTATGGCCCTAAATGAAACCTTTAGCTATTTTCTGTTCTCTAACTAAATAGCCCTTCTTTGAATATGTAACTTATAGTTAAAATTAAAATTTTAAATGTACTGTTAACCTCATATTTTTTGTACGATCAATCATGCAATTTTTGCTTCTCGCTTTAATAAATATACATCAGAAATTTTAAAAATGGTTATTGTGAAAAAAATTAAAATATAAAACGTGATGAATTTGATAAACTTTGGTGTTGCAAACGGAAAGAAAATAAAAATTACTTTTTTACCATCCTTTAAATAAAAAAATACAAAAAACAAAATGATCTGCTAATTTAAATATTTTTTATAAAGTCAACGTTTCTTTCTTCAATAAATTTATTTCTTATTTCCACATGCGTTTTGACTATAATAATGGCATTTAGTAATATCAATTGTGGCGCTCTTACTTTGTTAATATATTTTCGCAAATTTGCACATAGGCGGAGTTCTGCTGCCATCTGACGGCCTCCCTTGAAACTTTAAACTATTGTCAATGAAGTCACACCGGTTGCATACGTAGCGTAGCCAGATCAGAAATTCCCATTTGCGCGATTTTGTATATTATCCACACCATAAGCTGAAGAAAAATTTACAACTCCGTCTTCAGATAATTGAACTGAAATTTAATTCTCCGAAAAGGTAAATTAAATCTTTTTAGACGTATCAAACTTTCTGTTTTCAAGTTTAATTTTGATTTAAAAAGAAGTTTTAATGTTTTTTTTTTAATTTTATCAAGCAAACAATTTTGAAGAAATCGCAGTTGTTTCACATTTTGATGATCAAAAGAAAATGCAATTTGGCAGCAGTGTACAATCATCTAGCTCAAGTACGGCGTGAATTCACTCATCTCGAGGGGCCACGGTTTTTGGCCGCTGTCCCAAGTGCGAGGCCTGCACGTGCGAGCGGCGTGGCCGTTTGGCCTCTGCGGGAATGTTGTTTACCCAGGCCGCGCTGGTTTGTTGGCTCGTGAGATGAGAAATAAATACTTAAGTCGACAAGCAAAGCACAGCAACGCAGGCAAAACAAAACGCACCCTTTCTTGGCCACTCGTGGGGGTTTTTCCCTTGCGAAATAACAAGAGCAAATAACAGAAAAAATGGATATCATAAACTAAACTTTTAAATAAACTATTAATTTAAGTATTTTTTTAAAGGCATAGAAAATGTAATAAAATATTGTACCAAAAAATTTAACTTAAATTAATATAATTTCGACTTTGAACTTCCCATGGATATTGGATTAATTGATTGTGACAGTTATTTTTTAACAAAAAATATTAAAAACTAGCTTTTGAATCTCCGCTCTCCTCTGAATGTTTACTAAAATGTGTTTTGGTAAGCCTAGACTCTTTTAAAAGAAATAAAATGTTATAAAAATCCTACATTTTTTTTTAGGTATTAATATTTTCATCTTTCATATTTACATATAATTCTGAGAACTAAAATGAATAATTTTTGTTTGGCCTATTTTATTTATATTCTGAGATGCAAAACAGAGTCCTTGGGTGCCGCCGCTAGCGAAAGTGGCCTTCAATAGCATGCAAAGCGTAAGTGCATTATTTATCTCATCTCTCTCTTTATCTTTCTGTCAAGCCAACATGCAGTGCTGAGCGCACGCGAAAAGTTATTTGAAGCAGTTTCACGATTATGAGATATCCATTGAAAGTCTATTGACTGAATTGTGGTATGCCAATGTTCAAGAGGGTATATTATGAATAATTTTGTAACTGGAAGAATTTGATTAGAAAACTGATAATTTATAGCTTCTTATCTTCCTGAAAAATAAAATTTTCAACAATTAGAGCTATAAGAATTGATTATACTCTAGTGATTTGAATCATCAAGGGTTTTCTAAGAATTCTTATTCCAAGGAAAAATTTACTCCAATTTCTTTGATAAAATTTTATCCTCTTTAATTACGTACGTTATATGGACACAAAAGGGCAAATTTATAATTATTATTTTTTTTTGCAACCATTTTTCCATTTCAAAGGGGCACCTTTATACCTTTAAAATGTGTAGCAAGTTTGCCCGTAGAATTTAATTTGAAATTCGAAAGATAAAAGTTCAGTCTTAAAACTAAAATTTTTAGTTAACTGCCATGCCAACATATAAATAACATGATTTTTTTTCAAATTTTAATTTAGCACGTGTTTATCCAAACCTCGCATAATGTCCACAAATAAATTAGTTCAAGTTTTCACAATTTTAGGCAAAAATTTTCTTTCCTTGCGCTTCTGTTTTGGATAGAAATTTTATTTAAAAAATGGCCTTGCCTCCCAAATGAAACAAATTTTAATTTTTTTTTTTTTTTTGTATAATTTTTATTATTGAAATGGAAAGCTGACTTTTTTGGTGGTAGAATTTTTTATTCAAGATATAGAATAACAAATAAAAATTGCCTTTCAATTTTCACGCTACGTTTATTATTATTATTATTTGTTTTTATTGTTTTATAGATTAAATTAGTATTTTTTTTAGTGCCTGTCAATGATAACAGTTGAGCTTTTAAATTAAATCAATTAAAAAATTTTAAATTTCATTAATGTCGAAGGATTTTATAAATTCTTGGTAGACACATAATCTTATAACCAACTCAAATCACTGCCTTGAATCTGATTATTAATTCTGTACGTCAATCACCGTGTACTCAATTTTAATTACACGAGTACGCAGTATTTCATTTTCATGTGTCAGTAAAAGAAAACAATCAAGTGTAATCAAGATCTGAATTGCACAAATCACATAAGACACACACATGTGCCTCGGATGGTTGGTGCACTCATGTGAACCGTCGAACCCAGGCAGAGAAAATAGGTAGACAAAACAAAATACTCCAAGCTGATAATAAGATCCGACCAATTCCGGATCAAATCAGATTCGCGGAAAAACAACAGCTTTGCCGGTGGAGATCGATTGGTTTTGCACCCCACCCTATCGAGAAGTGATTAGGACTTATCGCTTAATTTGCCGAGCGAGCATTCGCATTAAGCACGTGGCCTCGGCATGAAATAACAGAGAGAATTGTTGTCCAGCAGCAACCGATATGAGTCGGGGCTCCATAAATACTTCTCGAGTATATCGTGTAACTTGGCTTCTAAATTTTTGATCAGCAAAGGTTTGAAATATATATTGAAAATGTGGAAATTGTTTGTTTTGTAAAAATTAATAAATATTAAACATATAGCATTTTTATATTGATTTAATTTGACGCAAATAGTTTTTAATTTATAAGTAAATTAGTTCAAAATAATTTCATTTGTGGAAACTTTACGGAAACAATCCTGTAAGTAGAAATAAAAGCTGCTGATGGGATCTTTTTACCTCTGGAGTTTAGCAAAATTATGGCAAGTGGTGGTGCCGTCATATGTCCTCTCAAAATTCCAATCTTTGCCAACAATTGATTCAATAAGACGGTGTTTTTTAACATTGTTTGGAAAAATTAAGAAAATATCAGTGAAAATATGAAATATATGAAAATTTTAATTAAAATTTTCATAATTTACAGCAATTTTTATTTATTTAATTTTTTGCTTTCTCTCATGATATTTTTAAATTATTGAACGATCAGTCCAGAGAGTAAAATGAGTCGCAATAATAAGTAAACGGTGGCTAATCACGGCTTAAACCGCAACAAACTGAAAAGGGAGAAAACGTCCGGCCTAATAGCTACTCTGCTTTACAAAACTCTTTGCGGTCAAACTCACACAATCCAGTGTTGAGTCAAACTGGAATCGACCGGCTTTGTGTTAGCCTGATTTTGATGCCTATTTTTGTTATTACTCCATACACGTGGTCTCGGGGAAAGGGTAATTAAAAGAGTCGGGGATGGGGCGTATAAATAGAAATCCATAACCTCGGACTCGGATCTGGTTGGAGAAAGAGCGACCGAAACGTGTATGCAGTTAAATTTCACCTCTGATGGAAACCTCGCGGGCTGCACTCGGATATCAATAATATTACTTAGAAATGGGACTGTTGACCACCAAGCACCCTACTGCAGCAGTGGACCTCGTTCGCTTTGCCGCGGTCGACCCTGACACCCTCAAAGGTTCAATTGATCAGCAAAACAACAATTCGGCTGGGCAGCAAAATCAACCGACTGAAAGTGCAAAAAAGTGAGTAAAAAATATCTTGATCTGTATGAAAAATATTCAGATTAAAAAGAATAATTAATAAATAAATTTTTAAATTAATTAAATTTATGTATAAAACAGGAAAATATTTTTTATAATTAAGGCAGTTATAAATGAGATTATTTCAAATTAAGGAGGTTTTTTGTTGGGCACAAATTTCGAAAGTAAAATCCTTTCTCTAGACAAGACAGTCTTTTTAGTGAATTTTTAAATAATTCATACTAGAATTTTGCATTGTAAATAAAATTATTAGCGTATGAAATATTTCAAATTTTGCAATAAAAGAATTAACAAAAAAAGTCACAAATTAATAACAAAATTGATAAAATAATCGCAAGAAAAGGTTAAAAATTTCAATCATAGGCCAATTGTTTGGCAGGAAATTTTAAAAGAAAAATGTAAATAATATATAACACGTTATTTCAGTTTTCTCATTTAAAACATGAATAAATTATTTTCTCACTTCCTCTTCATATTATTATCAATTTCCAAACATACTTTCCTGGTTCAATTAAAAACAAATTTGTTAAAAATCAGGAGATACACGATCATTTTAATTATGAACTAATTAGAACGCGAACGAGAGCAAACAGAAATTTTCGGAGCGATAATTAATAGCCTGTCCCTCACCACCGCGAGTTCAGCGCGGTCGGCGGCGGAAAAAGTGAAGGCGCTTCTCAGACTGCTCGGCGCCCTTTCGGTTCACACACATGTATCATACCATGTGCGTTTATATAATGTTACAAGTTACACGCGGAGCCGCTCATTAATATAACTTTATCACAAAACGTAATGTGTTTTGTTCAAAGATTGATGATATTAATGAGATCGTCCATACTCTTTGATTCTCATAACAATTAAACTGAACTATTTATATGAATACTTATGCAAAGAAATAACAATTAAAAGTGATTAAACAATTGAATCAAAATAGAAATTCTTAAAATTTTTATTTAAAGTATATCTGATATAAACATAAAGTAGCAACAAACTTTGTCCTGGGCAAAAAAATTGAAGAATAACATCCTAAAGATATGAAAAATCCATTCATTAATTTGATTATATAATGATTAGTTATTCGTTATTCTTCTCAGTCAATAAAAATTTTAAATTAATTTG